AGTCGAGAAACTTGTCCCGACTCGTCGGTGACTCGCCGTCCGTGGCGTTTTTCTGTGTTCGTTACAGTATATGTTTTACATTGTGTGTACATGTACAGTTTTGTGCGTGTTTTTAACATGTCAGGAGTGAAACGTAAACACGTTACTCTTTCATTAAATGAAAAATTAGCAGTGCTACAAAGACTGGACAAAGGGGAAGATTGTTTATTTTACTTTTTTCTGATAATCCGACCTTTTTTGCGTTCCGACCATACCCCCAGTCCCAAAGGTGACGGATTAGAGGGGTTCTACTGTATATTATACAATAGTAAACAGAATTATATGAAAAATTTATCTTAATAGCCAAATTTTCAGATCTTTATGCCAAAAAATACACTCTCATTTTCTGCTATCTCTTCACTTCATAATATATACTATTGTGTTTTATTTAAATTTTATGACTTTTTTACCTATACTTGTAAAAGTAATTTTTGTAATTTTTACATTTCTTGTATATGTATATATTAGGTATCTATCTGTACATTTGGGAACCTAAATAATAATTGTAAACTGTTATGCGATTTTATCAAATATCAAGTTAAAAATTTTTAGCAATATTTATACAGTGGAACCTCACATAACGATTAAAGCAAATTGTAAAAAAATGACTCATTTAATGAGTGACATTTTGCATAACAAGTGACGAGGAGAGGGAAAGTCCCAGATTGTGTGCCTGCTACAACAATATGTGTTTAACATTGTTCTGCTAGCATCTTGGTGTCACTTATGATCACACATTTTTCCAAACTTGTGTTCAGACATATTACATATAAACATCAACAACCCATTATATAATAAACATGACAAACAATATGTCAAATTCTTGGACTATGTAAAGGCTATAATTTTATATTAGAAATTACTGTATTTCGATTTTTTTTGTTTTCTGCAAATCAAATTTGCATTCCAGGTTGATTCATTCCACACTAGAAGAAAAGATGATGATGATTCACGCTCCTTAACAATGTATATTGTATAATTTTCTTTGAATAAACATTATACATAAAATATTTGAGTATCTTTTTCGGCATGGAACGCATTATTGTATTTTACATTAATTTATATGGGAAAAATTATTTCGCTTACTGAGTGTCTCACTTTACAAGTAACATTCTAGAACAAATTATGCTCGTTAAGCAAGGTTCCACTGTATTAAACAACAGGCATTAAAACTGCTTATAAAAATCATTTAGTTGCAAAATACAATTATTTTTAAACAACTAATAAAAAACATTTGTTTAAAAGTGTTGGATACTGTGCAATAATAAAAACAGTAAATTTTATTGAAATGATAATCATCATATGCATTTTCTATTGAAAAAAATTATCTCTAAAACATTTTCCTCCTGAAAAAGTCATCTCATACATATGGTTAAACTTAAAATGCAATACTACATAAGCAAAAACATTAGATATATTTGTAGAGATGAAAATACTTTCATATTTTTTATGTTTAATATTCATATATAAAATATTCTTATCTCTGTAATATATCTGATACTCTTGACCTTCCTTATCTCATCCTTACTCTATGAATTTATCTCATCCTTACAATATTATCATATTGTAAGGATGAGATAAATTCATAGAGAAGATATTTCTAATCTGACAAATACAGAAAAGAAGCACAACTAATTTAAATCTATATACTTAAATAATTTGAACTATTTTTGTTGATCTTGTAAAGTTACTCTAAACTTATAAAAATAATTATTGGATATTTGGAAGTAAAGATTTGGAGTAAATAAATTACAAATATTATACTTAAAAATACTTTGGATAAGAAAATTAGTTTTCTAGAACTGTGCAAAAATATTTAAAAAGTTGAATGTTGAACAGAATCCAGAACTGTTTAATCACTGTGAATTTATACAAGAAATCAAGAACAAAGTAGTCAATGTGGTTGTTACATGCAAAAGGTTTTTTTTAAACATTTTTAAAACATTATTAGAATCCTAAAAATAAAACAGGATAAAATAAAATAATCTAATAATGTTTAAAAAATGTTTAGGATTCTAATAATGAATCATCTTAGAAAAGTTTTCTAGGGTAATTCATTGTTTTTCTTCTATAGAATAATGATCTATTTTTCTTTGATTATATATTCAATTCCTAAAGAGGGGTATTATTCTTAAAAAAATCTGAACAATATATAAGTATTTATTTCAGATAAAAAAGTTAAAGATCTAAAAAATCTAAAATTTTGCTGCAAAAATTTTAGATATTTTTTGATTTGCAAAAATTTGTATAATGGAAAAAACTTGAATAGTGGAAAACTATGAAAATAATTGTTTTAATAAATAATTTTTTTAATATAAATCATAGTATATAAAATTTTTAATTTGTTATATTCTTTAATAGTAAATGTTCTTGCCTTTTCTTCAAATGTCATAATTTGCATTTGATCAACAACAGAATTCAATTCACAATTTTTTCCCATCTGATCAATGTCATCATCTGAATCATCATCCCCTGATGAATCAAATGAACCTGATTTGTTCATGTTTTCTGAAACTGTAAAAGAATAATTTTAACTAATTAAAGCTTAAATAATAATTTACATTATTTCAAATAGAGACTATAATTAAATTATAATACCATTTGCTGTTTCATTTGAAGAAATTGGACATCTAGCTTTAGACAGCATATTATAACAACTAAGGCACACACGAAGAGATTTTGTAGATTGGGATGGAAGAAGGAATCTTTTACTGGAGCAAGGACCACAAACTACAGCACCACATTTACGACAATGATGCTATAAAAATAAAAGGTTTGTTAATTTTAAATAATATGAACATTTTAAAAATTATATAATAATAGTTAATTATCAATTCATTTCCATTGAAAATTCACTCATTAGAAAAGCAAGCACCATAAATCTTAAATTATGTTTAATTCTGTGAAAAAAAATGTACTTTATAAAAGATGATGGAGGTGGATTTAATGTTATTTATTGCTTCCAACTTAAAACCAATCTTAAAACTTTTAAAAAATTAATAATGTTGATTTTATATTTTTACCCCTTTATCTACTTTAATCAAAGACAAAAAACTTTACACCAAGAAAACTCATAAAAAACATACAACATATTACATCATAAAACAACATTTATTACTTTTAAATGCATTATTAAAGCTGTTTTATCTCTTTTTAATAAATTTTTCATTTATCAAATATTTATAAAAATTTCTTTTAAGTGTAGATTCAAAAATCAAAGTTTTGCATTTAAAAATATCAATTATCTCTAATTGATTTTTTAATTTTAATTGATCAATTTAATAAGAGATAGCACCTAATGCCTCCCTCTAGTGACAAATTAATTAAATATAATTGCAAAAAAGTAGCCTGATGTAATCCAGTGGTTGTTTGGCTTTACAAATTTCTTGGGTTTTGTGAGGTTTGTTTATGTATAATTAAAAAAAATCAAAAATATATCAAAAATAAATACAAATAATCAACAGAAATTTTGATTTATCTATATATTTCTTTATAATAAATGCTATTTGAAATTCACTATTACTGAAACTGGAACTTCATACAAAATTACAATTTATCATTGGAAAAAATTTAAGAATTCAATTTTGTTTTAATCTTTAAATGTAATAACAATCTTAACTAAATATAGTAAATTAAATTTTATAATAACATACAAAATTTTTCAGCACAATGAAACAAAAATTATTATTGGCTGTATAAATATTGTTACAGAAAATCTCAAAAACTAAAACATATGACATTGAGATTTTGCACATGCAGAGAAAACACATTACAGGATTTTTTAGAATTGTCAAATTCAAGGAACGACAATTATGTGCAATGTAATTAGATCATTCTAAATATATTAGAGGTGCTCTCTACTTATGAACAGGTTATGTTCCAGAGGTTTTATTGTAAGTTGAAAACCAATCTAGAAAGTAAATTTGTACACAGAATAACCACTTATTGTTAGTGTTGCATCCTTTGATGTATTTATTAGAATACAATGGCTCACTACTGTTTAGTAGTGGATATTTCAAACATGGTTTCTTTCATCTAACACAGTTTTTATAATGTCCAGTTTAGCTTCCACAGTAATAGAGCAAGACTTCTTGCATTTAGTTTTACTACTAGATTTAATATTACATTTTGGATGCATTTTTGAAGCACTAATCACAAAAATTTATAAAAATTGCAAACAATAGCAAAAAGCAATGTTACTCCAACATTACTGACTTCAATTCCACCCTGAGCAGCAATGGAACCTTGAAATTTGCATAAAAACAAAAAATGACAATACACAATAGAAATAAGCCCGCATAATTAAAAAGTTATTATTTATTACTGGACAAAAACAACTTCAATGCCACCCCATGAGCAGCAAAACAACTTCACAATCTGCATGAAATTTTAGACCTACAGTCAAATTGTTCTTAAGTCTCAAAGTTCATAAATTGAACATTTGTAAATAAAGGAGCTCCTGTATTTATTTTCTTGTGTTGAGACATTAATGTTTCAATCATTGGGTTGCAATTTGAAAAAATTGTAGATCTATAAATTCCCACTGTCATCAGTCTGTCTGTCTTTCCTTAATCTTGAGAATGGAGATGAAAGCAAAGACTAGATATGGAAAGATAAGGGGCAAGAGGCCCCAATTAACTATATACAAATTTCTGGTCCAAACTGGAAGTCACATGATTCAATTCAAAAATTTTTCAACAGAGATAAATAGATGACTGACATGACACTGTTGTTGTCAGAAAAAGTATGATGTACAGGGGCAAGACACTGCTAACTAGAAAGTGGAGTACACACATTTTAAATTAAAAACATTAAAATATGATTAATTGCAGCCTGGCAGTGCGACGATGTCACAATAAATAATTGTTCATTAGATATAGCTTTTGATGAATAAACAAAGGTACAAATCATAAAAACTAATGAAATCATACATAAAGAATTTCATAATATACAAATCATTTGAAATCTTGATATCAATATTTTTGATAAAATATTTCTCCCATATATTTTTAACTATGTAATAATAGAAAGAAATGGAAAAAATTAAAATCTGATATAATTTGATTATTTTTCATAAAAAATAAAATTTAATAAAACTATTTTCTTACCCTCCTATTAATAAATGTAAACTGTGTTCGTCTGCAATGCATACATATTGATGCTTCAACATCAGGAACCCATACAGCTGCATGTTCAGTGGTAGGCTTCTTACCAGCTAATATCAATAATTTTAAATTTTAGGGAAAAAGTGCAGTGTAAAGAATTAAATTTGACAGATATAAGAAAATTTATTAAAATTATTTATTAATTAATTTTTATTTAAAAAATATAAATGTTTTTTACTTATTTCAAGAAGATTTTCAACACATTTATTAATATGAGCCATCCATTCAGATTTTTCTGTAGCTGTAACTGCATAAACTGCAAATGATTTTGTTGGAGTCTTAATCAGCCATCCATTTTTCAAGGCTAAATAATATAAAACTGGATTAAGTGTTTGTTTATTAACCATGTTTATAAAGGAAATGAATCCTGTATTTACTATAATAAATTAAAATATGCACTCAACATAAACTCTGTTTTAATAGTGGTCATTAAAATTAGTTAATAATGTAAAATCATTGATGAACATAAAAGAATATATTTTGTAACTAAGTATAAGCATATTCCAAAGCAAGGAAATGTGCACAATATTTAAAAATATTAATATAATAAAATATATTGTTATGCATTTTATATAAATGTGCAATTTTATTTGTATAATGTAAATGAAATATTACAAATAAATTGGTAGAATGTAATAATATACTCTCATAATTAGAATTCTTTGCATAAAAAAATATGAAGTGTTTACACAGAGTAAACTACCTATTGTTAATAAAAATGTATGGATATTCTAATCTTAAAATTAAGTCAAGCCCTAATAAAAATAGCTCATAAAACTCAGAAAAAAAGTTATAGCTTAATTTAATTTACTCCTACATTAAAGAGGATGCTCAAAGTGCTGTCATTCTTAGTCACACAACTGTTAAGATGCCATAACAATGACTGCCTCAGTCTAAATTTTCAGGCTGATTTCTAATAGCATTTAATACATTCTCAACCCACTCTTGTAGCTCTACCAAAGTTGAAATTGGTTTATAGTAGATAAGAAATTTCAAATAATCCCAAAAATAAAAATCAGGGATTTAAGTCAGATGACCTAGCTGGTCAACTGACTAGTTCGTCCCTTCTTATCCATCTCTCAGAAAATTTCTGATCATGGTACTGCCTTGCTATAATAAAAGAGGGTCTTCCATCATGCAAGAAAGAACCTACATTGTTGTTCTCAATGCTAAGGGAATTTCTTTAACAATTCAAGAAAAAGTTTTCTGTCAAGTTTACCAAGGAGACTCAATATAATTCTCTTAAGAATGTTTGGCAAAACATAGCCAATGATTCCTAAACAATAATTAATCAAGAACTAGTGTTGGTGTCAAGACAGCAAAACAACACATGAATTGTTCTAAGCCAATTGTGCAGATTAAGAAAACTGAAAATCCTTTTTCTTATAAACATTCACTTATCATGAATAGAACATAGGACAAGAACATGGTTTTCCACAAATTTCTGCAAGATTCACTGGCAGTGCTCTAATCCAAGGGGAAAATCATCAGATGTCAGAGCATGGGCACATTAAAAACACTAGAAATAAAGATGATTTTCATGAAAAATGTACATGACAGTTGTTTGAGAAAGCTTATTTATAAACAAATGTTCTTGAACTAATATAAGGTTCAATTATTACTTGATTGAGAATATTGTCATTGTTTTATAGCGTTCTGCATGTTTGTAACCTTAGTCCATCTGTTTGTATCACAGAAGATGAGTGTTGTTCTTTAAGACATTGATGAATATGGGTACATATTCTCCCATTTAGAATTAGACAATCAAGAAAGGTTTCTTGATAAAGAATGCACTTCTGTTGTATTTACATGATCATAAAAAACTAAATGTCTGCCAAATCCTCAAAATTATTCACCATTTTCATTTGTACAAAGAGAGAAACAAAACTTTTCATATTGTTAAATTGTTCTAATACTTTTAAATTAGTTTAAAAATAATACAATGAAAATAAATTTGAATATGTAAATAATTTCATTTATTAGTTTTTGTAAAAAATTATCTTTTTTTGTTTCTCTATGCTCTCCTAGCTCTTTATTCACACTTTGTTTCCTTCTTGGAACTGGAGCATCTTCGTCAATCTCCCAGAAAACATTTTTATAGTTGAATAACAATATTATTTCAAGTTATTTTCATGCTTTTAATAAAATAAAATTATCAAATCTGTTAGACTCTGAATGATTGCTCAAGCTATAAAATTTGGTGCAGATAAGGAAAGATTAAATAAGAGTGAAGATATAAAAAAACTTATAACTATTAGATAAGCAAAAATTTATTCACATTAAGGTTTACATAAATGAAAAAAAGTAAGTGTAATCAAATTTTATTTATAAGAATGGATTTGTTAAGCAGTTTTTTTTTTTATAAATATGTTAGTCTTTATTTTTGATATTTGCTATACTAGAAATACACTAGCATGCAAAACTTAAACAACAGTATAATTTTTAAGCAGACAGCCATGAAATTGTAGAAAAGCTTGTTGTAATCAGAACAATGAACACCCAATTCAGTAGAAAGGGGATTCATATGCAAATGTCGGAAAGAAGAAATCACAGGAAGAAGACATGAGGGCATGCAACTCTCATGTACCAACGCAACTCTTTCAATAAAGCCTTTTTTTGTTTGATTCCACACTGTATGCATATTCTATTCATTTTTGCACTAGTATACTTTCTTCATCCTTTAAGTACAAAATACTGTCTCTGTATTCTGAATTTCATGTATTCCAGATGATTTCTTGCAGAGTTACAGCAAAAAAAAACAATTGCTGCTTAAGTTTTGCACACCAGTGTATGATTTTAGAAAACTGTTTTAGAAAAAGAATGTTCTTCAATCATAAGGGATTTTTGAAAATCTAAAAGTTGTTTCTTAATGAATTTTAAAAATAGATAATAAAATACATACCTCCATCATCATCTAAATTTTCCAATTTTACTTCTTCAAGAGGTATGATGTGTTGTTTGTTATACTGAAATTATATATCATAATTTTTTTTATTGAATAATGTATATATTTATATATAATATTATAATATATATAAATAATATATATTTATTATATATAATATGTAAATATATATATATATATATTTACATATTATATATAATAAATATATATTATTTATATATATTATAATATTATATATAAATATATACATTATTCAATAAAAAAAATTATGATATATAATTTCAGTATAACAAACAACACATCATACCTCTTGAAGAAGTAAAATTGGAAAATTTAGATGATGATGGAGGTATGTATTTTATTATCTATTTTTAAAATTCATTAAGAAACAACTTTTANGTAAAAGAATGTAATGAAAATTCTGAGAAAATAAAAAAAAATTAAATGTCTTATGAAGTTTTTTGCTTTGTTTTCTTTAATCAAGATAAAGTGCATGTTATAAATGAAAATTACATACACTATTTAATTTGAAATATCCTCATCACCATAAAAATAAATCTCAAGCAGATATGGTAATGATTACTTATAGTGTGATGGCTCATTGCATAATTCCAGCAGATGGAGTACATCCCTCTTGATCTTTAAAAAAAAAGCATGCAAGGGCATCCTGTCTGTAGTTTACCTGTTGCAGAGGGTCTGTATCACTAGAGATGCTATTACATTGTAATCAAAGTCTATAGGAACAACTAACAGAATTTGAGAGGGGAAGATTTCTTGGGTTGAGAGGGGAAGATTTCTTGGGTTGAGAGAAGCCAGATGGTCATCTCGCTGAATAGCCCACCACCTAGATCAGGGGTGGCCAACAGTTTTTGCCCCCGGGCTGAATTGGAAAGAAAACTTTTTCATGGGCTGAACCAGAGGCTGCCCTAGGAAGATTTTGAGGTGGTGCGCAATCTCATTGTGGTGTCACACCATAGAGACTAAATTGTACATAAAGATTACAGATACATTTTCCACATTATCATGCTTTATCAACATTTTATGCTGTACTTAAGAATTTGTAATGCAGGGTTAACTCTAAATGCACAGTGAGTTGTTGACCTTTTTTTTAGGCGTCAGAATCTTTTATTGAGCTATTCGGACTTCAGTAGCTAATGTTGAAAGACTAATTGCAGGCTGCATAAATTCATTAGATGGGCCAGATCCAGCCCGTGGGCCATATGTTGGCCATGCCTGACCTAGGTTGTTCTGACAACACTGTAAAGGAGGTGATGGAACCAGTGGACAAGAAAGAGCTTGCAGCACACATGGCACTCAGGCTCATGACATGCTTGGCAGACCACTAACTGGAGGTTGTGTGCATGCTTGCTGGAGGACCGCCTGGTCCTCCAGCATGCACGCACACAGCCAACCATATTGTCTGCTATCTGAACATAGGTGGTGCCATTCATTACAGACTCCCTTGTCTGTCCATACCATTTTAAGACACCTGGTTGAGAAACATTTGGTATTTCAGTGGCCATTATGCTGGAAATGGTGAGTCACTGACAATGGCAGAAACTCACTGTTTCCTCCTGTTTAGAGTGCTATCACTCCAAACAGATTGGACTGCAACAGAATTGAACCGGGTCATCTACAGCAACAAAACCATGTGAACTGCAGGGGAGGTCAGGGTCAGTCGCACCTCCCTGTTTGGACAACAGGTCGTAAAACCTGCTCATCTGTCAAGATAGCTTAATTGATGATTACTGGTCCCGAGGGTTGGGACTCTCAAATGTTGGTCGAGTGGAGGGAGAATATTTGGGGTCAACAATAAGGTGAAGGCTGTATACAAGTAAAGGAGTCTACCATTTTAACAAATAAAACAAGAATTTATTAAAATAAACCAAATTAACAAAACTACAACACAAATCTCGACATTAAACTGCCTAACAGCTCAAGAGAGGGTTTACACGCTTTTTCATACCTCTTTATAGGTTTCCTTGACGATTTAGTCTATGTAGGCACATAAATGTCCAAAAAAAGGTGTCTTTGATCCAAATGAGCACAAATATAAAAGTTTGCAACTCTGGCGATGAACGGATATCAATAAGAGACTCCCTCGAGAGGGGGTAAGAAATGTCTTTTATAGCTTTTTGCAGGGAAATTCCATCACGTGATCAAATGTTCTATGAGCTAAAGGTTATAGGTGTTCCAGGGACCTAAACAAGGGACAAAAGTTAGATGCTAACTATAAACTTTTGTGCAAGTCAAGCTGCAAGTTATGTGAGAACAATAGAATGTTGATAGTTATGACAGGAAGATTTACACATTCCCGCTAAGATCGGTTTTTTTCTCCAATTCATTACATAAATGAAAGTGAACTAATTACAATTTTTGTTAATAAAATTCTGGATCTCACATCCACATTCAGTTTGGACACTGACAATGGCCATGTTTATGTCTGGAGGCACTGTAGTGAATTCCTCAATCCTGCCTATGCTTTGAAGCAGCACACATCCCTGCAGTTGGTGTGATAGTCTGGGGTGCAATCACATACAACAGCTAGTCACCTCTAGTAGTGATCCAAGGAATCATGACAACCCAGCAATATCTTAGTGACATCCTGCAGCCACATGTGTTGCCTCTCAAGGCAGGGCTCCCAAGCTTCCAATTTTCCAAAAGGACAATGCTTGACCACACATAGCAAGGGTGTCACAGGACTGCCACATTGCAACACCTCAGCCAGCCTAGTTTCCTGATCTGTCACCAATAGAACATGTCTGAGATCACCTGGGACACCAAGTTGGACAGACTAGGAGTTTGGTCAAACTAGAGGACTGCTTACAGCAACTGTGTGCCTTCATGCCCACCTGTAACACATTGTGTATTCACACTAGAGGTGGCCCAACAGGGTACTAGAACCTTCTTTCATTTGTAGTTTTCCCTGCAATAAATGATCCTCTTGCTTTCATTTCATAATCACTTACATCACTGTTATAAGTTCATTCAATTCTGACAACTTCTTCTTGGTGTGTTAATTTTTATGGCAATGAGTGTACATTGCTGTTTAATTGTTATCAGACATTATAATGTACTAATAGAAATGATATTTACCATCTTTTACACCCGCTTTTCAAATATTTAATAACTTACTGTTTATATTTACATACACATGCAATATATACATGGGGAGTCTGATATTAAAGGTACATGCCAAAATTACACTAACATTTATAAATAAAGACATTTATCCCAGTGTGATATTAGTTTGAACATCCCGTCACAGTACTGTTGCTTGTCAAGTTGCTTGAAGTAGTCCAGAACAGTGTCTTCCAATGCATCCTGATCTGCAAAGCATTTCCCTGCCAAAAATTTCTTTAAAGGTCCGAATAAATGAAAATCTGAAGGGGCTAAATCTGGACTATACTCCAATGTCAAATCAAACCAAACTATAATTGGCACAGAGGAACTGGGAGGTCCTGCAACATCCTCCATATAGTCCAAATTTAGCCCCCCCTGGATTTTCATTTATTCAGACCTTTAAAGAAATTTTTTGCAGGGAAATGCTTTGCCTTGGAATTGGAAAGACATCATTCTGGACTACTTCAAGCAACTTGACAAGCAACAGTACCATGAAGGAATGTTCAAACTGGTGTCATGTTGGGATAATGTCTCAACATTTATGGCAATTATGTTGATAAATAATCAGAAGTATGCAGTTTTTGTGGAATGTATTAAATATTTTCTTTATTTATAAATGTTAGTGTAATTTTGGCCTGTACCTTTAATATAGGACTTCCCTCGTATTTAACTTCATTTGTGGCA